ATTAATACATGTTTAGATTTCGGGCACAAGGACTCTAATGAAATTCCTTTTTCAAACTCTTGTAAAAGTTACTTATAGCTGTCCATGTAAAAACGCGTCATTCCGTATATTCAACCCATAACCATTCGTTCCCGCTTCGTTGAAGTGTGAAATAGCTGCGTGTATATAATAGAAATGTCAGCTGCATCCGAAAGCCCATTCAAAAGATATGGTCAAACAAAGTTGGATGGTGAATTGTAACCATCCGATTTTTGTCCGATTTGACCACAGCGCCTCCAGTCGATGTGTACAGCCACATAACGAACCAGGGAACGAATACGTTTTAGGCCCATCAATATCTCTGTCAAATATCAGCTGCCTCAGACTATTCCTTAAAAAGTTATGACTAAACAAAATCGGATGGTTACAATTCACCATCCAACGTTGTTTGACCATATCTTTTGAATGGGCTCTCAGATGCAGCTGATATTTTGGCAGAGAGGCTCATGGGTCTAATAGGATGATTTTTTTGGGCTTCCTGGTCAGTGACAGACAGGCATATTTCAGCCTTCCTTGGGAATTCCAGTTTTAGCTATCCCCCTTTCGAGGAAAGTCCAACGTCCATCCACAGACCCAAGATGCCAGACCACGATTTCTTCAAAAAGGTAAATTCCGGGTGGTGGAGCTAAGCGTAGGGTTGGGGTGTCTACCTGACCTCAACCCCGCCCTTGCCGATTTTCTGCCTACGCCACTGGACCTCTCTGTCAAATATCCTCTGCATCCTCTTGAAGAGCTATAGCCAATCAAAACAGGGTGGTGACTTTATAATGACCCTGTATTTTATAATGATCCTGTTTCTCAAGTCATTAGATCTTTTAGAAAATTCCATCTCCTTCCATAAGGATGATGCACATTAGGAGGGGTAGCTGTGAGATCGCTTATTGCGTCGGAAACGGGGAATCAGATGTTAGTAGATAGCACGATATCTCACTGACGTTGAAGTGGCTTTCCGATCGTCGGAGATGCGTAGAGTAGCCCAGCCTACCATCTCATGTGTCACTTCTAGCACCATCCTCCATGCGTTGTTTGTGTTCGCGGGGCTAACTTGGTGCACGCTCAAGCGTGCACCAAGTTGAACTATATGAAGTCGAACTATACTTGACTCATGTAGGCGTATCAAATAGATCGTGAGATTCAACGATAGGACTAAATGAGGAACAGAAGGTCTTTCTGTGGAATATGGCACGCACGTAAGGAGGCGATGAAAATAATTAGGGCCAGAATTCCGGAAGAGAAATGGCGGTAGATAGTGGTAGCATTTTTAGCTTGTTTTTGAGCAATTGAATGCGGCCTAGCAACCCATATGGCCTTGATGGTTCGGATGCATCCCTATCTCACTTCCCGATAATCTCAGCTGCCTGCCTTTCTCCCGTACCCATCCGCTTTTACTCTGATTTCCTGCGAGCAAGGTGAGCTGGCTCGTCGTCTTTCATGACCTCTGGCATAGAGTAAGACAGAAAGGAAAACAACATCGCCGTATACCTGGTATGTTGCATAATTGCCAAAATTTATGTGAACCTCTCCTAATACATGCAAAATGAAGTCCTCTAGACAAACGCACAGGTTACAGCTGCCATGGTATTTGAGCAACCTTAACAGGCATATTTGATATATTTGTCTCATTCAGTTCAGGACGACACGCATAACATGATAAGAAGTTTGTCGTGTATCGCAAATAATTATGCAACATCCCATTAAGGGATGTGTCCAAGTTTGGAATTGGGTGAATGCCATAGCCCATTTTAAGCACGAACGACTGATGGTGTTTGGGCTTGATGAATGCCAATGTGTCCATTCATGGAATCACTGCAAATACTCATGGATTCATGCTGGTGTCACTGCCACTTCTTTAGGGCCAAAATGGTCTCACTGCATCAACTACATAACTACCGTTCTGGATCCAATAGACCCTGATACAACAATTTTGCTATTTGTGTACACTGCACCGTAAACTTGTGAAGTCCGACTCTCCGTGTACTTTTGTGAAGACGTGATAGTAATTAGGCAAGATTCTTTGGGAATGAAGAGATGAAACAGAGTTAAACATATGACCATTCGGGTTCTGGTAGTAACAGGGTTAAACATTGAGTTTGTCCAGATTCTTTGTTCTTTATATCTCACACCCCCCCCCCCCCAAAAAAAAAAAAAAAAANTTGAGTTTGTCCAGATTCTTTGTTCTTTATATCTCACACCCCCCCCCCAAAAAAAAAAAAAAAATTATACTAATAATAAATAGAAATAAAATAAAAAATGAAAAATAATAAAAAATAATAAAAATAAAATAAAATATAAAAAATAATAATAATAACAAATATTAAAAATCATAACTTGTTCGACAAGTGCAGCTTCCATGTGTCTCTAAACTAAATATTAACTGTATTTACGTGCCTAGCATATACAGTACACAGTGGCGTATTTCACGAAGGAAGGGGGGTGGGGGGCATTCTGGGACAGAACCAGGCACCCCTAGAAGGTAATAACTTTCTCCCCTGATATCGCTCGGGTGGGATTTTGCATCCCCTCTCTGTTGCCCTCGCCCTCTCCCGATCCTTCAACCAAAATACGCCACTGTATGCACGCCCTTGGCAAAAGACAAAATGTGATATATATGGCAGTGATTATAATTTTCCTGATAAAGCTAATCCCCTGGATTACTCAATATGACACCTCACTCTGAGCATATCAGATGTGGTCATATTTCTCGCGAACAGTAGCCATTACTCGTCACTGGTGGAATCATTGGCGTTGACAAACAGTGGGTTGTGATGAAACACTTGAATGGCAACTTCAGTCAAGTCATGTGACTTGCAGGTTGTTTTTCTTCGATGCATCAAATTCATGATTTCAACGATGTAGGTGATTTCCCCCTCTCCTTTTACAGGGGTAGTGTAGTGATAGGGATGGCATGGGGGAAGGGTTACCGAATGTCTTTACACTGTTTCCGGATCGAATTCGTACTCCCAATAGGAGTGCTACCATCGATTGCAAGTAGTGACATCTTACACTGGATGGTTAAGTCTATCACCTGATGAAACGGAACCTCTGGAAATTTGTTTCTCCATTCTCCACTGTAGGGGGGTGGTAATTCAATTCAGAAACAGTGTAGTTCGTTGGTGGAGTGGAAGCATACCTGACTGCCAATCAAGAGGTCTAAGTTCGATTCCCAGCCGTGCCCTGGTGGTCTTTCGTCCTGACATGCCTAAGAAATTTGATGTCCAGCCCTTGATAGGCGCAGCAAACGTATCTTTACCATGAACTAGTTTTTGCTGCATGGTTGCCATAATAATAGGTGTAATAATTTGGAATCCTGCGCAGATATTCCCGCTAGAGGTTCACATGTCACTTCATACATTATGCAACGATCCTCAGGGCTCTGAAAAATTAAAATTGCAGATGTTTAGAAGCTTAAAGAAAGCCTGAATTTGTCTCATTTTCTCTCATTATTCATAATCACATTTACCCGAGGAATCATCGGCAATTTTAATGACACGGTGGAATAAAAAGAGAACGAATTAGGATTGCCACCCATTCATAATATGGACAGTACATAATTCAGATGCAATGTCCATACTGCAAACTAGCCTTAATACCCACACTGTTTTGTCCATATTTTAAAATGAAAAATGAAAATTATGATATTAAAATGAAAACTAATTAATAAATCTTATAGCAGCTGAAACCATCGACTTCTGGAAGTCAAAAGCAGTAGGCCACACTCTTACAGCATCGATTGGTGCCTTGGCTTAAGGTGGCTGTGGGTATTTGCAGCATACAGGGCCGACCCTAGCTGGACCTAGCTGTTTCGGCGCCCTGTGCAAAGAGACTGAACGGCGCCCCCCCCCCCCCCCCCCCCCCCCCCCCACCGCGNTTTTAAACCTCCCTCCCCCCCCCCCCCCCCCCCCCCCCCCCCCCCCCGAAAGGAGAAGGTTCAATCCCTAACGTTCAAAATGACACAGAAACGGGCGGCATTTCCTCGTTCTAAATTAAAACTCAGGGTGGCTTCCGGATTATTGCTTCATACATTCACATTTTGGCGCCCCTGGTGATTTTGCACCCTGTGCGGGGGCACACGTAGCACATGCCTAAGGCTGGCCCTGGCAGCATAGCCAGGGCCATTCAAGTGTACTTTTAATATTTTTATATATTTCCATTTGTCCATATTTTTTTCAATTCAAAGGTGGTGACTCTATGAATATTCCCAAATTGCATGCATGAATCAAACTCAAAAGTCTTCATTGCAAAAATAAGGATAATGCCGTAGACATAGGAAATAGATGGTTTTCAAACAATAAACAGGGAGGAAACGTGCCTGCTTGGCTTAATTAAGCTCTATGCATGAATATCTGGTCGCCTAGGCAGGGATGCCCCGTCATGATCTGTAGAAAGTTATCTAACAGCTCACAGATAGCCTACCCCATGAATGGCAAAGTGGGTGACCCTATCTCCTAGACACAGCACACAGGAGTGTGTCTCTTACCCCAACACATAGCAAAGATGAAGGAGCATACCCTCTTTCCAGGTGGAGGGGGGCACTTTCAAGCATTCTGAAACAAGGAGGATTTACATTACTTCGGACATCCTTTTTGCTAACCCTGTTATTAGAGTAAATGTCATAAACTTGCTTCTTTGATGTTTTCTCAGCAGATCTTAAGCCATTAAACCTGTTTTCCCCCCCTATTCTTTTGCTAAACTGCTCTGGGTCATGGGCTTCTCCCAAGGGGGAAAGCAAGGAACTTTTTAGAGGGACCAGTACCTTTTCATGGTGGCCTTGATGCCAGCCTCCCTCCAAATATTGTCAGATTTGTTTATTATTATAATTTTTTTCACCTTAATTTGCAAGCCAAGCTTGTTCTTATCATTTTATATCTGCCAACAGAAAAGAGCTATTTCAAGCATGGAACCATTGATGAACTAGATCTGTGTCATGGCAGAAGTGCATGAGAGAAAGCAATCTACAGAATATGGAACAAGATCAGGTGAATGCTTGTGCTTCTCTTTCATGCCCTCTTCCCTCACACAGTGGTGATATCAGAATACCTGTCTGTATATTGGATGGCAGCAACAGCCAACAGCAACAAGAACACAGTCAGGAACCTTCAGAACTGGAACCGAAGAGTTTGGACTACTGCTCCAGGAAAGGCAAATTTGGATGGCATGTAATAGGCAAAAAAGCCTTGCCTTATGTGCATCGCAATGGGACAGAGAAATTCTGTCCAGTTCGCATAGCTGAAGCTGAGCTGTTGAACCAATTTCTGCTCAACCTACCTCCAGATGTTATTAATTGTACATCCATACAAAGTTACCTCATCACTGAGGCTGAAGTGCTCCTCCTTAATGAGATTAACTACAGACACAGTAAATGTACCTTTGGAAGAGAGCCCTTCACAACACAGGATCTTCTAGTGAGCATCTTTGATGTTGGAGAGTTCTATGAGTTCCTTCAATTGTGCCATCAAAGGCTTGTGTTGCAGCAAATTACTGCCTGTGATCGATGTGGATTAATTCGAATTGGGGGAGAGAGAGGACCTGTTGTTCCTTACACAATGTCCAAAGACAATGTGAAAGTCATCCCCCTCATCTTTTTTGAAGGCAGAATTCAGGACTTGCGCAAGACGAGTACTTTCATTGATGGTTGGGAACTGGTCTATCTAAGGTTTTGCTGCAAGGTGCTAGGGATTCGGAAGGAGCTCTACCAACCCAAAATCTGTGAGGTTGTGAGTTTACAGAGTGTTCAGGCTGAATTTCCCATTGGGACTCTGTTTGAAGAATTTTGGCCTATGTCAGTGCAGGGAGCACTGAATGTCAAAAGTAGTGCTATGAGCACTACACCCCCTCAAAATTCTGTGAATATTCAAGTTGCCCAAACTCAGCCATTCAGTGACCTCACCCAGCTGCCGAACTCTTTGATTCCATCACAGCCATCCTTTGGAACTAATGCCCTGAATGTAGCACAGCCATTAACTGGAAATACAGTGTCAGAAATCTCAGGTGGTTTGAGGAGCCCTGCAGCTGCATTTCCACACATTCTGAATCTCCAGACTGGGCTGTCTTCTTTTGTTACATGGCCACCCTCAGTACCCTTGCAGCTTTACAAAGGCAATACTGGTGTAGCACTCCCTGCAACAAAAACAAACCATTGCATCTCTTCCCTTTCTTCAAGCTCCAGTCAGAGTGTACTTAGTCAGTGAGTGGTGCAATTAATGGTATTCTCATATTTTTATTTTCTGCTGGATAACAAATACATTTTTATTTTATTTACTACAGAGATTGGAGGGTATCTGCATATGCAATAGCAGGAAACCCTGAGCATCTACAAAATCCAGATCAGCTTTCTGGAGTATGCTGAATATGTCAGGTTCAGTTCATCTACTTGAAGTCTTCATAATAGTTGGGGATCATTCAATATTTCAATTTCAGACTGTGGCACTCTTGACTGGATCTACAGCAGGAAGCAACACTGATAGGACCAGTGTTGTAAACCAAATACAACCAACATCATTGAATGCAGTGGTTCCTGGCTCCATTGGAAATGGAAGACAGGGTGCCAAGAGGACTGTTCCAGCAGTCATGGAGTGAGCAACTCCTCATATACATCTATGGAGCACAGATGGTTCCACTCCCATTTTCCCGGCCAGTCCTTCAAAAAGACATTTATAGTTAGCAACTACTAACTTTTAAATAGTATTTCAGATGCATAAGTATTAAAATTCTTAGAGGATTAAATTTGGCACAGTGGCAGATTGGTATAGTACCTTCGCAAAGTACACTGTTTTCGGATTGAATTGGTACCTCCCTCCTAGGAGCGCTTCCATCAAGTACAGGCAGGACACCTTGTGGATGGAAGGTGAAGTATTAATAGAATCATCCAACAACCATGTGGAGCATCAGGTTTGACATCTAGAGGATTGTCTGGAAAACTTGTGTTTTCTCCCTTCTCCACAGTAGGGGAGTACCAATTCAATCCAAAAACAGTGTTGAGCTTCTGAAAGTATTCATTGGTAAATCTATACTATTATATTTCAGAGTGTCTGTGTGCCTGTCTGTCCTTTATGCATGGCCACACCTCTGATCCCAGTCTGGCCAAACTTTGCTGCCTTCCTCATTAGGTCTGGGGATGGTTATAGGCTTGGTGGCATTTCAAAATTCAGACCCCCCAAAGGAGCCAACATTTTGGGGGGTTGTGCAAATTGAGCCAAATACAAGGGAATGGAAGTTTTGTTTGAAACCATTTAGCATTTAAGTGGTTAATTTAGTTATGCTTGGCTGACATCCTATGCCAATATTTTATATTCCAAATTTCATGCAATCCATTAGTATCAGACATCAAGTTTTCATAATATGCATCACATTTTCATTTTCATGATCTACTTTCTACAAGTGAACTTTGCATTTACATTTTAAAAGACTGGTTCATGTCAAAGCCTGGATTCAGGTTGGGATATCCCAGGTCAGGATAACTGCCCCAGTGGGGGGCAATTAACCCCAACCAAAACTTAATTCTGAATAATCAACTAAGGACTATTAGAAGCATCAAGAAGTGTTACTGTGAGATTGAAATGTCATGCAGACACAAATGATGTTTGAGTGGCATTACTTGCTGGCTGGATGCTTGCCTATTTCAGTAGTCTTTCTGGCTCCTTGTCTAATTGGTTATAATCCTTTTCCTCACTCCAAAATACTTGAATGCAAAATATTCCACAATATGTGAATTGCTTCTAGGATTTGCTGGAACTGAAATAAATTTGGATTTAAATTTCTTTTTTGCTGACTCCCCTCAAAAATTAAAATGTAGGAGCTATGTGACCTTTTCTATTTGATGAAGACCTAATACATATCCATGATATGACTCTCTTGCTATTCAATCTGAAAAGTGGACACCTTCCTTTTTTTTTTTTAAATAGAACCCAGGGGCATCTAGGGAGACAGGAGCACAGAATTTTGCCAAAAACTGGTCAAGAGCAACCCTCACTGATGAACTTCCCTACTAATCCCATGCTTATGATAGGGCAGTCTCCAGTGCAACAAAATGGGATGCTAAGACCTTGCTGGCCCAACTTGTTCCCACAAATGCAGCCATACCAGATTTCCCAGACCAGGATCCATGACAGGTATGTTAAGGATGTGGCAGATATCTACCCATTTTTCTTTAATAACCTTAATCCTTTTATGATGGCTGGCATCACATGACAGGGGTGCCCAACCTTTTTGCCCAACTGGACCGTATTGCCACTAAGGGATCTCCCATGGGCTGCATGACCTTTTTTTTTTTTTTATAGATATTAATAATGCAGCCATATATTCCTCCAGTGATGATTCTTTTCCTGGAAGGTTTTTCAAGTTTCTGCAAGTGCCATGGGCCAGATCAGCCTACAGGCCGTAGGTTGGGCACCCCTGACCTATGCCATCATCATTTTTAAAGGCCTCTTAGGAGCCATTTATGCATTACAAAGTGAAGTTCTTGTTACCAGTTAGAAGTAGCAGATCCTTTGTTTACTATAACACAATGGATGAAAATCATGAATTTATTGGTGAAAGAGTGGTTTGAAAATGTCCAATTCCTGACTTTTTGCTTGTTGAACATGTAGGCCAAGTCATTATAATTATGGACATAGTAATTGTCTGTTTTAAGGCAAAGTAAGAATAAAGCATTTAGATCTAGGCTTATTCAAGAGACTAAATGTTTTTGAATCCAAAAGAGCCTTTGATCATTCCTGTTTGGTGTAGGGTGAGGTATTGATGTCATGTTTTTCATTTGCAGATTCTGAAATTCTGCCCTGAAAGGGTTAACAATTTGCAGATGAAGCTAGGTGACCAGAGGCCAAATTCTATTATTTACATGAGTGTAAGTTCTATCTAGATGAAGAACTTAGCTGGTGGTTACACAATTCAAATGCATGGCCAAAATTAAGCAATCAGCTTAGAGTAAGTCAAAGATTTTCTCAAGTTACAAACCCTGGTCCAAAAATCTTCCCTCTCACCTCCTAGGGTATGGTTCTCTGAGAGCTGAAAAACACGAATGTCCCTATGTACCAGTACAATAGGTAGGATATGTAATGCTTGCTTATTCTAAAACTCTCAAAGTTGAGGACATTATATGAGGACCATGAATATGGTATTTGGCTAGGTCTCTCAGCAAACTACATTATTCCTTCTCAGGCATAACCAGGTAGCACTATGGTCTTCAGTGAGCACATTCTTATAGGTGACAGCAATCACATGTTTTCAAATCAGTCAGCAAAATTGCAAGTATAGACAGTATTTCTATAATAAAGCACAATTCATTTTCTTGATTTCTCATAGTGTTCCAGTAAAGTCCTTGCTGAAGAAAGTGGATTCAAGGTTGAAGCCAAGAGACATTCTTCCAAAGGTCAAGTTTGGAACGGTGAATCAGGGCATCTCTCAATTGGGTCCTGTCGTCTTATCTTCCTGTAACAATGCCCCTTCTAAAAGGATGAGAACTGACTGAGTCAATGTTTCATGTGATTCTATTATTCATTTACTCCAGATATGAAAGTAAACTAGTTTTTGGTTTATTCCTCCATAGCTTACATTGAAATTGAAATCCACTGTATCCCAGCCATTCTGCCAAGTTTCTGGGTTCAAATTATGGATTAAACAGATAGGCAGTGGCAAAGCAACTACAAGAAATGTTGATTGTAACCATGTTATATTAAGTTACTGAAGATCTTAGTCCCTGTAATTTGTACAATTGGCTTGAAGTTTCACAGTCAGCACAGCCACGTTGTGACTTGGTTGAGGTTGAGATGAAAATCCAAAGAAGAATTGACATCAACGAAATGCTGACTATTCATAATTAACAGTATTTGCAGCATATTGTGACTACTCATGGATTATCGAAGTTGTTTAATGGCTATTAAATGCAAATTGTTTTACATCATATATTATTCATGCTTAATAGCCACCAAATGACTTTTCTAATCCATGGGTATCATATGCAGATTCTCAACTCTTACCAAGTCTCAATGTTTCAACCTTTTCTCACCATTGACACAACAGGGCTGTGCTGACTGGGTTGTTTATGCCATGAACCATCATATAATATAAAAGGACATATTAGTGATAAGGTTACACTTTTATAGCTTGAAAGACATCATTTCTGCAAGTGGCTACAATCTAAAATGTATAGGCAATTGGTAATAGAGCTAAATTTCTATCCCCCCCCCCCCCCCCAACCAAGTCATTGTCATCCATGTTAGCTTCTATCTTTCCTATGGCATCTAGTAAGCTGGTCCAAGTGTTTGCAGATATATTACCCAGAATGGCTAACCTGTACCCTAGGATGCATACTCTTAGTCAATTGATTTCTACCTGCAGTAAAATACACCAGCTCCTATGCCTTCAATCTTCAATGGGCTCAAGTGTCTCATTTTCATAACTTCCAGGGATAACAGCTTGGTTTGTTGAAGAAAACAGCCAACCAGCATTCCACAACATATAGCCAGCACCAGAACAGATATTTGGGCCAAAAATTAACACTTCTGATGTGCTTTGTGAAGCAATCTAAATATGGTGGCCAAGTACTTTTATGGAGAAAATGAAGTTGTTCTGCCATATTCATCAGTGTCATAATATTGCTATTAATATAACAATGGAACAGGGTCAAGCTTGATGACCCCACATTGACAGACAGGTTAGCATTGCATTTAGATGCAGTAGTGCTGAGCTATGTATTCAATACCAACTTTTCACAACTTCCTAGTTTTTTAAATGTGGGAACCCATGTTGATGATACTATGTTCACCTGTTTACTTTAATGCACAATGTACATGCTGTGTTGAGTTTTCCCTCCAAAATTTTGCTGATTCTGCTTTTTGTTTTATAAATTGTTTCCAAGTACTGTACTGACAGTGGGTGGAAAACTAAGAAATTTACCTAGAAGGTACATTTGGTTAAAAAATATTCATATACTTCATCCCTTCTCACTATTTTGACTTCTGTGAAAACTATTGGGAGTTTATATATTTCATTTTCTGGCACACGCAGCATCTTTAATTTACTCCAAGACTTCCAACATATACTATACAGTACATGAAGACAAGTGTTTTATGGTACATGTGAAAATAATGGCACAAATAGGTTAAAAGATCATGCTGTAGAATCACAGCAAAAGTCAGGCACATCAGAATTCACTCTAATGGCAAAAGTTGGGCTTTTCAATGAAAATATTAATAATGGCATCCCAACCTGGCTACACCATTTAAAAAGCCAAGGTCCTCACTCATCAAGGAGCTCACAAAAATCACAGGGACAGGGGTAGAGGAATTTACAAAAATCTGATATTGTCCTAGTTGAATCCAGACTCATCAAAAACCTTACCCAAAACAAATATTTTTCTACAGGGAACAGTATGACCCAAGTGAAGGGAAATCATAGTGACAGTGCAGATGGTTTTATTCCTGCTTCATTAACAACTGGATGGATGAGAAGGGAAATAAATCTTCTCTAGGATCTTGGTCTCTCTTTCTTTCCTTTATACAGGGCCAGGAGGGAAACATTTGCAACCTTCACGACCTTGAATCTGACACCTGGGGAAAGAGAAAATATGCCAGACATTACACAGTGGTAAGAAGTGAGGGAATATTAAAAACAAGCACATCATGAAATATCCACATAAGATTTTAAGAAACTGAAAATGACATGAAAATTACTTTTGATGTTCTGAAAAAGTCCCAGTAAATGCTGAAGCAAACCAATGAATTAAACACAATTAATGGTAAGGCTGATGCAACACATACATAAGCATAACAGCAGAAGGGCAAACAACAGAACAGCAATGACAAGTCATAAGCTTATTTTCATGCACTCAGGATTAACCTCTTGTGGTCTACACCTGAGTTATCTCATGTAGCCTCATGAGTGATGGAATAAACATGGATGACAGTGCTGAATCCAAAATACTCTGACTCCAAAGGGTTAAAGAATGACCCTCACCTGGGATGTCTCCAACGGCATGACCCTTTCGGCCAAAGCCAGCAACCAACACCTCGTCATTTTCTTCAATGAAGTTCAAGCAACCATCACGTGGGACAAATGCTGTGATCTTCTTCCCATTCTTGATGAGTTGGACACGGACACACTTGCGAATGGCAGAGTTAGGCTGCTTCGCTTCCACACCACTATTTAAAAAATTCAAATTAAAACCATCAGTAGCAATCTCAGCCAAAACAAATGTTCTATTTGAAAAAATACAACAAAGCCTTACTATAGAATTGCTTGTAATAAAATAACATGGCATCCTCATACATTCATACGACTAAAAAATTAGTGTTTTTTTTTTAGTCTTTAGGTTAGATTCTAAGTTTGCTTGTTTTAACTGAGGCTCAATATTGACTTCTGATCATGTGCATCCAAACAAATGTCTTGCATTGAAAAAGGCAAATCTTGCACGAGTCTAATGTTCAGCATATGAAGAGAATGTAATTATGCATCAATTCCCTCTATATTTACAATAGGTTGCTCAATTGCAATTCATAAGAAATCCCACATCACACATGGAGTCCCACTTCATCTCACTTCCATGAATAGAAGTTCCACACAAGGGCTCATCCTTTCCTCTGCCAGCCCTTGCAGAGTAAAGGGAACCACTTGTACATCTTGTCATACATTATTATTAGGGATGCACCGATACATCTCATGAAAAAAACAACACTTGTAATGGCATTCAGTTCCTTATGTTTGTCATAGTTCTTTTTAACCTCCAAATGATAGACAATGAGCTTGCAAATTGTTTAAGTGGAAAGAGAGAGATATGAGAGCATTGTATGAACGGAATGGGCCAGTGTCATTCGTGTACGCGTTCATTCTTTCACTCCCCCCCCCCCCCTTCCATCCCATCTCCCGCCTTCCTGGTTGGCGCAGGCACACTTTGCGCTCACCTCTGGCTTTCCTCTTGAGCACCAAACCCAGTTATACAGTAGTTGCATCAACTCCTTAATCCCTTAAGGACATTAGATATAGTTCCCAACTACTCCTCTTCGCACCAATCGTCCTTTGAATGTAGTAATCCGACGTATTCTCAGTGGGCCTGGTGAATGGCAGGGGAAGTTTTGGCATATACTCAAGAAGCTAATATATTGCTGACATAAATGTCTGCAAAACTAAATAAATGACAGGAACTTCAAATGCTGGGTTGTTAGTGTTCAAGGATTTTTTACTTCTTCCCTTCTCTGCCAAAGGTAACATAAGGCCTACTAAGGTCTGGTCCTATATTATGGTTTCATTTCTGACAGCAACTGGGAGCTACCTGTATCAGTATCGGCTAATACCATGACACTGGGATTGGAATTGGTATCGGCATCAGATAATCCTGGATCTATGCATCCCTACATTTCCTTTCATTTTTTATTTTATTTGTTACTAGGGTGCAATTAAGAAAAAGAGGAGAATGCACTTGAAAGGAGACAGCTGCATTCCCTTGAAATTAGTATTGTGACAGTATTGACTTCAATATGACATTTTACAGGTGATAGGCTGATTATGGTTTCTCAATGAGAATTAAAGGTATCCATGTTCATGGTTTCATAGTTTTAGACATTCTCACAGCAGCATCATCCAAATTGAAAAAAAATGGAAGATAGGGGTAATCAAACAGAACCGAGAGTATTGATTAACCCCTTTCCAGGCAAGGTATTTTTGCAACAAACATGCATAACAAAATGCTACAAACTTGTTTTTGGATCTAATGGGTCTAAGTATAACTGTCAATGAAAGATGCACATCAAATTCTTAGGAAATTGTGAAAAAAAATTATCCAGGCAATCTGTTGCCTTGTTCCATTGGATCCCCATTGCTTGGAATAGAGTTAATTGGGAAAGCAGATGTATTCCATGGAAATGTAGATGAGGTTTACAACCAAATCACTTCAATTGACAGGGGAGATGGTAAAAAAGATTGAGAAAGAATAGGTAGGCGAAAGAGGATATGCCTAGGAACACCTCATCCACTGGACTTCTTCAACACTTGAATCTTGAGCTTCCTTACAATGACAATGAGACAATAAATGTGAGCAACCTTCAACTCTTCCTCTTCAATGTCAACAACACTAAAGTCACCAAAGGTGAGAATTGCTAACGCCTGCATGAAGTGCCGTATTGATGATACATAATATAGATCCAAGTACCTCAACACCTCAACTGCTATGACCCAATGTGAAGCATTCTTGCTTTGGCAGGGAAGTACTAGGTCATCATGCCTGCCTTGCCAAGGGAACTGCTGTTTTCATTCTCAGCCAGGCCTATTGAACAGCTTGATGCCACCTTATCATTGGACATGGCAGCATCCATGAGGAGTATATGTGAGTCACCAAATGCAACTCCCAAAATAATTCCTTGTCTGCACTATATTGCAGTGCTGCACAAGGACCCAACTTTGGTTGACAGGAGAAATCCCCACCTTCATGGACGTAGAATTAAAACTGATGCTAACATGAAATGAGAGCAGTGGTGAAAGAATGAAACAAAATGTGACGTTTGTGTTGTTAGAGGGCAACATAGAATTGGGTCAAAAATATTGGCCAACAGAAAGCACTACGGTTGTTCTGCTTACAGTTAACCAAACGCGTCCGGTTAACCGAGCGCAAGTAGTCACCTGGAATCCCAATTAATTGGGATTCCAATTATATATAATACACACCACCACCACCACCACCCCCCCCCCCCCCCCCCCCCCCCCCCCCCCCCCCCCC